GAAAAAAAAGGTTTAAAAAAAAAAAAGAGCTACAAACATGAAAATTCTGTCGAAAAATCGCACAGAATACAGGTCTGAAGCCCCTAAGAAAAAACCTGATACGAGTAAACAACTAACAAAGCGCTCAATACAACCGTAGAGCAGACCTAGATACATATTTAGTGAGCCAGACAAACCTACCTTAGGTTTCACCTAAACGGATCGTCTGGGTAGGTTTGTCTTGCTCACTATGTATTTTTCTCTATCTATCTCAGTCTGTTCATTATCTATCTATCTATCTATCTATCTATCTATCTATCTATCTATCTATCTATATATATATATATATATATATATATATATATATGTAACTAAGATAAATTCTAAACAGCCATGAAAACCTACCTAGATGTCACTTAAACAGATCTTCGCTTACCCAGAAGAAACGTTCAGGTGAAACCTAGGTAGGTTTTTCTGCCTCTTTAGAATTTATTTTAGTTATTACCGCTCTATTTAGCATATTGAGCATTTCACGTTTTAGTCTTATACACGCTTGTTTTTGTTTTTTTCTTTGGGTTAAAGACTCAATGCACTGGGCGATTTATTTCGTTCTGTTTGTATGTTTTTAGTTCTTTCTTTTTTATTTACAATTTTTTCTCGGGTACCGATTTATTTTGACATATCTACCAGTTGAGCTATCTGAGTTTTTTTTCCAAATATATATATATTCTAAAGGGTTCTTTTATGCGTGTGCGTGTTATTGAAGAGGTTATGAAAAACGCTTATATATATAATATTTGAAGGTACACTGTATTGATGTTAACTTTTTAATCATTATTTGCCACTGATATTTATTAAATTATATATATAGTACTTTTTGATAAAAGTGACTCAACTGATGATTTCACTTAAAAAATTTTTCGCTTATTGCTTTTGGGGATAAACTAATTTTTAATCTTACTAATATAAAGACCCCTTCCCGACCACCTAGTAAAAAAGTTTACTCACCCTAAGGTATTTTATTGATAATTATAATTTTGGATATAAATGAGATTTAGGGAAAAACTCTGTGCAAAAAAAGTGACTCACTTATTTCCTGCAACTAGTAATCAATAGAAACATAACCGAACAGCTTTAAATAATAGAGGTATAATTTATTTATAATAGGTAATATAGTTCGAAATATTTAATAATCTATGGATCCTCCTTTATTTTGAATAACCTTTTCAACCCTTTTTGGCATTGACTTGATTAGGTTCTGGCAAATCTCATCTCCAAGCATTGAATTCCATGAAATTCACAATCAAATCCTCTTTGTTCCTCAACTGCTTTCTCGACAACCTGCACCTTATAATGCTCCATAAGTTTTCTATGTGGTTGAGGTCAGGAGATTGGGGCGCCCATGTCATAACACTCACCTGCTTCTCATCAAAGTATTCCTTCATCAAATTTGATTTGTGACAGGGAGCATTATCCTGCATAAAAATGAGCTTGGTGGGGTCGATTTGCACCCTTTCAACAGAAGGGAGCAGACAAGACTTTAAAATTCTCTTGTACTGCTCGCTCCTGAGGGTCTTTTCAATAGGATTTAAGAAACCAGTTCCATGAAAAGAAAAGCATCCCCAGAACATTACACTGAACGGATGCTTGACAATACTTACTGCTAAATTCAAAGAGCTTTCAAAGCTTCTTCGGATTTTAGATCGTTTATCCTTTGAATTTAGCTCAACTTTCGTTTCATCGGTGACATTTTTGTAATAGTGAGCCCATTCAAGTCTCTTGGCTTTGTTGGCTTTGCTTATTAGCGGCTTAAACCTTCGTGTACAAGATTTGTAGCCTTGTTCTGACAGCCACCGAAGGATTGTCGAAGAGGCAAGACTAACAACTTGCTCTTCGCTTAGACTGGCTGCAATTTCTTGGCTAGTTATAGTCCTATTCTTCGAAACTTTTCTCTTGATTGCCCTGCCAGTTCTATCATCAATCTTTTTCTTTCATCCCCTTGTTTCCTTCCTTGGAGCAGGAGTGGCATCATTATGTGATCTAAGCACTCGAGAGACAGTTGATTGCGAGGCTATAACAATTTCTGCAATTTCTCTCGTAGAGAAGGGAATAATAGATGCCATAAGTAGTTTTGAGTGGCTATTTCAAGCTGTTTTTATACTGTATGAGGCTTTCTGGAATACTCTAGATTTAATTTAAGCTGTTCTAGATATTTCTAGAATATTGTTCTGAGTGTATTGTAAATATTGTATTATATCCCAATTTATAATTAGCAATAAAATACCTTAGGATGAATAAACTTTTTTCCTAGGTGGTCGGGAATGGGTCTTTATAGTAGTAAGATTAACAATTATTTTAACCCAAAACAATAGACAAAAAATATTTTTAGTAAAAAAAATCAGGTGTGATACCTTTATCGAACAGCACTGTATATATATATATATATATATATATATATATATATATATATATGTGTGTGTGTGTGTGTGTGTGTGTGTGTGTGTGTGTGTACCGGGTGTAATTACAAAATTGACAAAATCTTGTAACAACATAATTTTCGCTCCAACAAGATGTTTAATATATAAAAAAGCCACTAAACTAATTCAGTTATATTTTTCCGTGTTTTCATATAAGACGTTTAGCCATCTTGGCACCATTTGTCGTAAGAATCACTGAAAAACCCTTTGATTTATTCAGCTAGAAAGAAAACAGGTTAAAATCGTTTTCTGATGGAACTGTGTATATTTCTTCATTTTTTATGTTTTTGCTCGAAGAAAGTTGCTTTTCTGTGTCGCGCCAGACAATTTTACTCGCTAGAATTCACATTGTACATTTATAAATCTACCATTCGTCCCTACGCTGAATATTGCTACCATATCTGGTTTGGTGCTCCTGCTATATATATATATATATATATATATATATATATATATATATATATATATATATATCACTAGATTCTCGACAAAATACAAAAAGTGTATGCAATGATATCCGTCCTGATCTGGCATCTCGACCCCAGTCACTTCACTAGCGCCGTGACAGAGTTTCACTCTGTCTTTTCTGTAACTACTTTCATAGCAGTTGTTCTAAATAGCTCTAATCTCGGATGCCTTGGCCGCATGAATTTAAGCATAATATTAGATTGTCAACAAAATATCACAATTTTGCTGTTGAAATAGCTAGATGCAATTGTAACTTCTCTTTTAATTGGTTAATTTCTCGCACTTCTCAACTGTTGAACTCTCGTCGGATTTATAACTTCCTCGCCTCCTACAATATTCAATAATTAAATGCAACGTCAACGTCCATCTTGTGTCTTCCTGAAACCTGTTCTTTTATTGTCCTTACTTCTCATTAAAGTCTTCTTATTCTCTTTCACTGCCAGTAAACACTTGTGTCTCAGTGGCATTACCGTCATCTTATTTGTTCTTGAAATCTGTTCTTTTATTGTCCATTTTCCTCACTAAATCTTCTCATTTTGTTTCACTCCCAGTAACCCCTTGCGTCTTAGTGGCATTATCGCCGTCTTCTGTCTTCTTGAAACCTCTTTTTTTTATTGTCCTTTCTCCTCACTAAAGTCTTCTCATTCTGTTCCACTCGCAGTAACCCCTTGCATCTTAGTGGCATCATCGCCATCTTCTGTCTACCTGAAACCGGTTTTATTGTCCTTTCTCCTCACTAAAGTCTTCACATTCTCTTTCACACCCAATAACCTCTTGCGTCTTAGTGGCATTATCGCCATCTTCTGTCTACCTGAAACCTTTTTTATTATCCTTTCTTCTCACTAAAGTCTTCACATTCTCTTTCACACCCAATAACCCCTTGCGTCTTAGTGGCATTATCGCCATCTTCTGTCCTGAAATTTGTTCTTTTATTAACCTCTTTTTATTGTCCTTTCTCCTCATCGCTAAAGTCTTGAAACATTCATTATCTTTTTCTCACCCTTCACATTCTCTTTAACCCCTTGCGTCTTAGTGGCATTATCGCCATCTTCTGTCTGCCTGAAACTTGTTTTTTATTATCCTTTCTTCTCACTAAAGTTTTCACACCCAATAACCTCTTGCGTCTTAGTGGCATTATCGCCATCTTCTGTCTGCCTGAAATTTGTTCTTTTATTATCCTTTCTTCAGTCTTCACATTCTCTTTTCAACAATAACCCTTGCGTCTTAGTGGCATTATCGCCATCTTCTGTCTGCCTGAAACTTGTTTTTTATTATCCTTTCTTCTCACTAAAGTCTTCACATTCTCTTTCACACCCAATAACCTCTTGCGTCTTAGTGGCATTATCGCCATCTTTTGTCTACCTGAAACTTGTTTTTATTATCCTTTCTTCTCACTAAAGTCTTCACATTCTCTTTCACACCCAATAACCTCTTGCGTCTTAGTGGCATTATCGCCATCTTCTGTCTGCCTGAAACTTGTTCTTTTATTATCCTTTCTTCTCACTAAAGTCTTCACATTCTCTTTCACACTAACCTCTTGCGTCTTAGTGGCATTATCGCCATCTTCTGTCTGCCTGAAACTTGTTATTTTATTATCCTTTCTTCTCACTAAAGTCTTCACATTCTTTCTTTCAACCCAATAACCTCTTGCGTCTTAGTGGCATTATCGCCATCTTCTGTCTGCCTGAAACTTGTTGTTCTTTTTTATTTCCTTTCTTTCACTAAAGTGGCATTTCACCTTTGAAACCTTGCGTCTTAGTTTTCGCCATCTTTGTCTGCCTGAAATTTGTTCTTTTTATTTCCTTTCTTCTCACTAAAGTCTTCACATTCTCTTTCACACCTAATAACCCCTTGCGTCTTAGTGGCATTATCGCCATCTTCTGTCTGCCTGAAATTTGTTTTTATTATCCTTTCTTCTCACTAAAGTCTTCACATTCTCTTTCACACCCAATAACCCTTTGCGTCTTAGTGGCATTATCGCCATCTTCTGTCTGCCTGAAATTTGTTTTTTATTATCCTTTCTTCTCACTAAAGTCTTCATTCTTTCACACCCAATAACCTCTTGCGTCTTAGTGGCATTATCGCCATCTTCTGTCTGCCTGAAATTTGTTCTTTTATTATCCTTTCTTCTCACTAAAGTCTTCACATTCTCTTTCACACCCAATAACCTCTTGCGTCTTAGTGGCATTATCGCCATCTTCTGTCTTCCTGAAACTTGTTCTTTTATTATCCTTTCTTCTCACTAAAGTCTTCACATTCTCTTTCACACCCAATAACCTCTTGCGTCTTAGTGGCAGTATCGCCATCTTCTGTCTGCTTGAAACTTGTTATTTTATTATCCTTTCTTCTCACTAAAGTCTTCACATTCTCTTTCACACCCAATAACCTCTTGCGTCTTAGTGGCATTATCGCCATCTTCTGT